AAACCACTCCAGTATCCTTTCCAAGAAAACCCCAAGTGGGGTTAGGAAGTGTTGACTCCTCCAAACAACAAAAACAAAATCTTTGGGTCAATGAACCCTATGGAGAGATATCACCTACTGAAAATACTAAAATTGACTACAGAGACATTCAAATAAATGTAAGAGTGAGGCTCTTTCAGGTGCAAATGAAGCAGTCTACACCAGCGAAGGAGATTGAGATTTTAAGTAGTTCAGCTGCATAAGAAAAGGCCAGCAGGGTTGAACTTGCCCCCAGGACAGAGACTGAATCCTCACCTTTGTCCCTAGTCATGCATTTGCCTTAAGACTAAACTCGAATCTGAGAAATATAAGCAGGTTAGTGTGGCTAACCAGAGTGGAGGTCTGCACTGAGGGAAGCCATCTGGAATGGGGGGAGAATTGTCCAATGGGGACAGGTAACACTTCTCTGACAAACTTCAGAGTTGCCCACAGAACCCAAGGTAGCGGTTGCCCCCTTTGGAGACCCAACCTTCCAACAGCAGAGCAGTTAGGTGAGGCTGGGTGAGGGGTGTGGGGGGGGGGTGTTACACACCTAAAGTGTTTTGCTATCCTAAAAGCTCTAAGGTCCATACAGAGAGTTAGTGATTACAGTATCTTTCTTTCTTTTCTTTTTTTTTTTTTTGGCTAGGCAATGGGGTTAAGTGACTTGCCCAGAGTCACACAGCTAGTAAGTATCAAGTGTCTGAGGCTGGATTTGAACTCAGGTCGTCCTGACTCCAGGGCTGGTGCTCTATCTACTGTGCCATCTAGCTGCTCCAAGAGTTAGTGGTTGAGCCAGTTCTCGAATCCAGGTCCTCTGACTTCCTGTGCTTACCACACCACTCACCTTCTGCCAGGTTTCATGAGCACAGCTCAAGGTCTCCTTTCCATGCTTCTGCTATGACTCCTAACAGCCCCATTCTATTTTTGGCATATCTATGGCCTAGTCTAGTCCTTGGTTCCTTCTCTGTTCTGTGGTCCTTGATCATCTCTGAACAAAGGAAAAACATCTAGATTGAGTGTCTTGCCACTGGTATGTACTTAATGCTTGTTGACTGACTTGACTGAAAATGGCCATTGTCTCCAAGGCATCACATCTATTATTACTGAATCAGAGCCCAGGAATACATGGGGAAGTGCCAAGGGCACTGAATTTAGAGACAAAGAACCTGGATTCCAATTGTGGCCATTCTCCTTATTAGCAGTCTGAGCATGGGATGTAGCTTACCTACTGTGGGCCTCAGTATCCTCTTTTGTGAACAGGGAGGATTGAACAGGCTGATCTCTAGGGACCCATAGAGCACTGTCTCCATGTGGGGCCTCAGACAAGGAAGTAAACCTGTCTTTGCCTTGAGAATCTTTTATTTTTGCATTGAACAGAAATACTTGGTAGAATGAGCTCAATGATTATATGTTTGGGTGTTAAGCTGATTTAAAAGAGTCTCAGGTCAGACGACAGACTTGGAAAACAAACACATGAAAATGAAGCAGGCAGGGGCTGTAGGTATGGCTGATCAGCAGCTGGTGTGATTTCCACAGAGCAGATGCTTGGTGCCCAGAAAATAATCAGAAGAAGTCAAGTTGAAAGCTGAAAGTGGGAGATGACCTAAATTGCAACCCCTAGTAATCTGGGCCCTCAAAGTTTATTTGGATAATTGGGAACTACACTGTGTGGGCCAGAGAATGTGCTGGTAACATAAGGGGCTTGGATGCCAGGATGCCCAAGGTGCCACCCAAGTGGAAAATCCTCTACTACTGTGACCTGGGGGAGCTGGCCCTTTGCCTCTCCAGGCCTCTGTTTCCTCCTGTGTAAAAGAAGAAGGATTGGAATAAATGGTCTCTAAGGGCCTGGGCTGGAGCTCCCGGGGACCACAAGGCCAGAGGGAAAGGGCAAGAAAGCCCATTGTCTGCCTCCCCTGAGCCCCTGCCTGCCTCCCTGGGGCCTGGACCTCCATGTTCTGTTACTCTTCTCCCTGGAGAACAAAGGACTTGTATACTGCCCAGGGGCAGCTCCTCTGGGTGGCCTGGTTTTTGCTGGGGTGGGCCTGGTCAGTGGGGAGTGAGCAGAGAGGTGATAGCAGGCAGAACAGAAAGCTCTCGAGGAGGGAAGGAAGGCCAACCCTGAGTCCTGGCCAGGAGATTGGCTGCATGGGAGGAGATGGGCCCACTAGAACAATGGCCAGAGATGGCCAGGCCTGAAGATGCTCAGGCCTCCAGGCTGGGAGTCAGGGCCCATGGGGCTCCCAGAAGCCTTGGCCTACTTTCTTCTTGATACAAAGAGCAGGGCTGCCGAGCCCCATGCCTCCTGCCAACCACGAGACTTCACTCCCTGCAGATTTCACAGGGTACACAGGGAACACAGGGTATGGGACATTGTTGCCACCCTGCGCCTCCTCAGCTGCCCCTGGGCTGGAGATTTGTCACTGTACCTTATCAGGGCTGTTTGCCCCAGAAAGAAACACAGAGCCCAGCCCTGGGTAGAGGAGGAGGAAGGCCACTGACCCTGGGAACCCTCCAGAGTGGCCAGGCTGTTCCTGGCTCTCTGCTCTACATTCTTGGGTTTGCCATACAAAGTATCCCAACCTTCAAGGCTGGCTAGGGTAGGGCCGGGGGGGGGGGAGCGCCAAGAAATGCAGTTCAGGGAAGAAGAAAAACACGAACAACCAAGGCTCAGGGGCAGCCTGCCCCCAGCCCCAAATCAGGGTTAAGCATGGCCTCTCACGGAGGCAGGAGGAGATGGCCTGACTAGACCCAAGGGGCCAGAATGGGGATGGGGGGGAAGTTCAATGAGCAAGAGGTCAGTGGGCCTAGATCATGGTGGTCTGAGACAGGCAGCCTAGAGAGTTGAGATTTGTTAGGAAAGAACTGAATCAAGTCTCTCCCACCATTCAGGTGGCAAGGGGGAGGAACTGTGGCCTAGCTCATAGGATCTTACTTAGATTTCCAGTTGGAAGGGACATCAGAGGTCCTCAGGCCCAGCCCTATCACTTTGTAGGTGAGGAAACTGAGGCCCAGAGAGAGAGGAAGGCCCCCTTGCCCAAAGTCATGCCCCTAGTAAGTATCTGAGGTGGCTTCTGAACCCAGATGAGAAAGAGTCCAGAAGGGGTGACAGGGCCCAGAACCAGTCAGAGGGCTGGCCCAGAGAGTTGTCTCTAAGGGTCTGAGGACAACTTGGCTGAAGGTCTCCAGTGAGATGCCCCAAGCATCTATGCTTGGCCCTGAGGTGCTTTGCTTGTCCAGCAGTGACTTGGACCAAAAAAGCCCGGATGTCAGCGCTTCCCCAATTAGCAGATGACCCAAACAAAGTAGGGAGAGGTAGCCATCACTCTGCCATGACAGAGCCAAGATCCCCCAAGATCTCGACAGGCTAGAGTACTGGGCTGAATCAAAACTGATGAAATCGAGTGGATCAAAGCCTAAAGTGTGCTTCCTCTTTTTAGACTTAGGTTTGAGAAAACAGCCTCAGCAGTGCAGGATGGGAGAAGCCTGGTTAGACAGCAGTCCATCTGAAAAAGAGTCAGTGATCTGAGTAGGCTGCAAGTTCCCTGAGCCACAAGAGTGTGGCCATGTTAGTGGGCCTCAGGGGAACCATAGGGCCCAGAAGGAGGGAGGTGAGAGAGCCACATGGGCCTCAAGGGCCCAGGCCAGGACACGTGTGGAGCAGGGCATTCCCTTCTTGGGCCCCAGTCTGGGCAGGACAAAGGAGCTGGAGAGTGTCCAGAGGAGGGCATCCCCTCTGGCTGGGGAAGGGTCTCAAGACGGGGACATTGGGGTAAGCTTTGAAGGCTCTGGGCCTGTTTCTTCAGGAGAAGAGAAGGCTTGGGGAGGGGAGGAGGGGCTTGGGAAATGGCCCGACTGCTTTATGTGAAGGGCTGTCAGGGGCAAGAGGGCTCAGCCATTTTGTGCTTGGCTGGAGGACTGAAGCTGGAGCAGTGAGTGGAAGGGGCCCAGCACCATTGTAGGTTTGATGGAGGGAAGCCCTCCCTACAGAGACTCAGATGCCCCCAGAGTGGAGTGGCTCCCCCAGCAGGCAAAGGGCTCCCCCAGCTTGGAGGTCTGCCCATAGACACCTGATGGCCCCTGGCCAAGGGCTTTGCACTGGGATTGGGGGAGGGGAAGCACCCTTGCTTGTACGCTTTGGACCAGGTGTCTGCTGAAGCCCCTTTGGATGCTGGAATTCTGGGACTGTGGGTTACTCCAGGAAGGAGAGGCCTTGGGAGTCTTTCACACCTTAGTGGGAATTACCGGAGCAGCCCCATTCTAGCTGATACCCAGCCCAGACCCTCTGGGGAGAGGCAAGGCAGATTCTGTCTGGCACTTAGGCTGCCATGGCTCTGAAAGCCCCTGTTCAGGTGGGCTATTGGAGGGGCTTTCCAGCTGGGCCTTGGGGCGGCCGTGGCATGAGCTGGAGGGGGGTCCTTTCCATCAAGCTGGGCTGGGGGGCTTCCTGCCCCCCCCCCCCCCCAGTTCATCTGTTGCTCCTGACCTCTTTGCTTCCCCTGCAGCCTGCTCACACAGCTACCAGGGAACTGTGTGGTCCCTGTGTTCTTTGCTGGTTTTAACATTGAATCAGGTGTTTTCATGTTCTCTGCCACCATAGCCCTCTTCCCTGACCCCCACTGGACTCAGTGTTTCTCAGGTGCTGATGGGGGAGGGGAAGAGGGCTGGGCAAGGGCACTAGGGTGGGGGGGGGCTCTGGGAAGGCAGGGTGCTTGGTGGGCAGGGGTTCTAGAAGGTCTGTTGGAGGAGGTAGGGCTGGCGAGCAGGTGCCAGAGAAGATTTAGGGGGGCCGTGGTGAGATTGCCCCCTCGAACCGCTGGAAGGGCTGACTTGTTGAAAGATGGCACGGAATGTTCCTAGGGAGCAGGGGAGTGGGTGGGGGGCAGGAAGGAAGGGTAGGGTGGGAGGGAGGGAGGTTGGGAAGAGAGAGTGGGAGGTTTAGGGCAGGACCTGGGCTAGACTTATAAATATCCCTAAGTGTCGTTACTTCTACTTTCCTCTGCCTTACAAAGCCTGGCACATCGAGGCAGCTGGTCAGTCCACAGTAGCTGCCACTCCTTGCCAGCCTGGTCCTCCAGCTAATGGGCCATAGCCTTTGAAGGCATGAGTGGAGATCTCCCTGAGGCCAATGAGGAGTGGCGCTGGTCTTCCCAGCCACCCTTGTCTCTCCCCAAGGAGAGCTGTGAAGGCAAGATGCCAGAGACATCCTCGGAGGAGCTGTCTCCTAATCCTGACCGGAAAGCTGAGACTTCCCCACCTCCAGAAATGGATCCCAAAGGTAACGGGGCTCAAGTGGAGGCAGGCAGACAGCTGTGTGGCAAAGTGCGTGATCAGGAGCATGGGAAAGCAGCTTCTCCACCTCCTGCCTCACTTTGGGAGCCACAGAGTAGGATTGTGTCTCTGTCTCTAAACTTTCTCTATTTTTCACAGAAGGAAAATGTTTCTCAGAGAGGAGGCCCAAAGGTGGCTGGAGACCTGGGCTCCTAGCCCTAGGACTCCCTGGAGCCTTAGCTCTTCACTTTGCCTGAGTGCAAACCAGGGAACCCAGGAAAGGCTTCCTGAAGGAGATGGGCTGGGGGCAAAGCCCAGAGGGAGTGGAAGACAACCAGGGAAATATGGATGAGGGGTCATGGTGGGCAATGGGGAAGCACTGCTGGTCCCTGGTGGGGGAAGGATTGGCTTGGGCCCAGAGCCAGGTTTTAGGCAGGTGACTCAGGAGGCCTGTGCAGGGAGGTCTGAGGGAGCAAGACTCAGGGTGGATCCAGCAGCTGAGAGGCCTGGAGAGGAGCTCAAAGGGTGGGAAGGAGGGCTGCCCCAGAATGGGACTATGGGTACCGAAAGAGGGAAGAGAACTCAGCCCACCTTGTCTGCTCCACAGGTTTGAGTGAATCTAGGGAAATGGAAAAAGCAGCAATGAGCAAGGAGAGAGAGAGAGAGGGAGAGAGGGAGACAGGGAGAGAGAGAGAGAGAGAGAGAGAGAGAGAGAGAGAGAGAGAGAGAGAGAGAGAGAGAGACAGAGAGAGAGAGAGAGAGAGAGAGAGAGAGAGAGAGAGAGAGAGAGAGAGAAGAGAGAGAGGAAGAAGAAGAAGAAGAAGAAGAAAAAGAGGAAGAGGAAGAACAAGAAGAACAAGAGAAGAAGAAGGAGAAGAAGAAAGAAATACAGAGAGACAGAGTGGGGAGAGAGGGAAAGAGAGAGAGAGAAAGACAGAGAGAAAGAGAGAAGAGAGAGAGAGCAGAGAGACAGAGACAGAACAGAAACAGAAACAAAGATACAGAGACAAGGACAAGGCAGAGACAGACACAGAGATACAGAGAGAGAGAGAGAGAGAGAGAGAGAGAGAGAGAGAGATTGAAAGGGTGAGATAGGGGCCAGTGTGAAGACCTGGATTCCAGGCCAAAGCTCTGCTGCTTCCTTACCCTTAGCTATGTAGGGCAAGCCAGGGAGCCTGGGCCTCAGTTTCCCCATCTGGAAAAGTGAAAAGGTTTGACTTTCTGAGTGAGTGGTCTCTAGGGGATCCTTCAGGTGCCAATGGTGTGGTTCAGGAGAGGTGAATGTAGGTCCTGATCTGCCAAGGGTGGGGATCAGGAGGACCTGCCCATCTCTTGCAGTGTGTATGTGGGGAGGGGAGGGCCAGGTAAGCACTTGAATAGAAGGGAGGGGCACTGTGGCCCATAAAGGCCCTGGGGAAATGCCAGCTACTAACCAGAGGACTGTCCTTGTCACTCTTTGCTTATCAGACAACTCGAAGGGCAAGGGCAAAGGGGACTCTGGTGCCAAAGGTGGGCAGCAAGGCTCTGTTCCCAAGTGGTACAAGATGAAAGGTGAGGATCTCCAAGGCAACTGGAGTGATCTGGCGAAGATTGAACAGAAGGTGGATACTCTGCTAGAGAAGATGGATCTGTATAACAAGGAGGGTGGACCCCCGCCACAGGCTGCTGAGGAGGCGAAGAAGATCCCACAGCCGCCGCAGCCCCAGCCACCCCAGCCACAGCAGCCGCAGCAGCCCCCTCCAGTGCCGCCACTGCCAACCCGGCAGGAGCAGGCGCTGCCCCAGCAGCAGCACCACGGTGGCAAAGGCCAGAAGAAGTTCAAGGGGTATATTAAGGGGGCTCCCACTGAGGTTGGTGGAGGAGGCAGTGGTGGTGGTGGTGCTGTGGGAAAGTTTGCTTAGAGGGGTGGAGCCTGGACCAGAGGGATGCTGCAGATCAAGGCCTGGAGGACCTGCGGGGGTGGTTCCAGGAAGAGGCAGTGGCAGCAGCAGCTGCAGGGGCCCCCTCCCCATGACATCTGGGCCCTTGTGCTAGAGCCAGCCTCACCTGGTCCCCTCCCCTGGTATCCTCCAGCACAGTTGTCCCCAATCTTAATCGCTCCAGGCTCCCTAATTCAGCTCTTTCTAGCAAGTGGCCGCCCCTGCCACTCCCCAAAGCATTCCTTGGAGGCCCCCCAGTAAAGCATCTGCTATTTTGCTCCTTAGCTCTCATAACTTTTCTCTGCAGATTTGACAATAAAAACATTCTCTTGCTTCTGTGGTGCTTTTTTTTTTTGAAGCATCCTCCAGTTGAGGGTGGGGCTGAGGGGGTGAGGAAGTGGCAGTCAGGAATCAGTGGGAGTCCCCATCCTTTGGGACCCAGCACAGCAAAGCAGCAAGTAGCCACTTGGTCCACCTAGGTGGGCCCGTGCAGTAGGGGGATGGTCCAAATGGTGGCTACTTCTTTGCTGGTGCCCCCAGAGGGAGGGTGTGCAGAGGGCTGCAAATGAGGCCATGCAGTGGGGGCTGCCAGGGGCTCCCATGCAGTGTGAACTTGTCCTGGCCCCCTTGGCGAGAGCCAGAAAGTGGGTGGACCCACAGGGATCTTTGTCTCATTCAGCAGCAGTACTGTCTTCCACAATCCCCAGTCTCCGTGGTCCTCAGCCTGTCCCCATGCCACATGGTGTTAAGAGGCCCTGGACCTCTCCTGGGGTCCAACTTTCACCGCAGGGGACCCTCCCCCACAGCCCCACCCTCTCCACCTTGGCTCTAGGTGCTGTTAAGTCAACTGAAGTTCAGATCTATGCCAAGTGTGCCCAGAGGGAGCGCTTGAGCCCCGTGCAGGCCCACTCTATCCCACTCTATCCCAGTGGCCATCTGGAAAGATGTCTGTCCTGAGCTAGGGCAGAGGCCCTGGACAGAGAGGAGACAGTAGGAGCAGGGAGGTGCTAGGGAATGCCCAGGGATAGTGGTCCCCACCTGGACCCCCTCACTAGGCACAGGCCAAGGGTAGAACTCAGCAAGGTTACCCCAAGCTCTTCATGAGGATGCTCCATCCAGGAAGACCCCCCCCCCACCCACCCAGTAGGTTACAGCACAGGAATGAATAGGTTTGACCTGGAGCCCCTAAGGAACAGCCACTCCCTGAGGTCTCAGTGAGGACATGACCACAACCATGTGACCATAGGTTTGTCCCCATCTCCTTCCACCATCCAGCCCCTTAGCAAGATGGTCAGTTTCTGGTGTGTTGCCAATCTGCCTTGGTGGGGAGGGGTCTACACTGGGAGTTCCCCACACCTAGGAGATCACAGGTCCAGTTCAAAGAGGAACGTCACCTTGGGAGACTGGGCTCAGCACTGGCTCCTCTCCAGACATGATGAGCAGCCCTCTGGCCCAGGCTCCCTGACATCTCTCCCTGGCTCACCATGGGCAAGGCCCTCACCTCTCAAAGCCTCACTCTCCTCACGGCGGGCAGAGGGGAAGGGAAGGCAATGAGGGAACTGTCACTGGGGATCTCTGTCCCAGGCTTGTTGGGAGACTCAACACTCTAGGCCTGAACCCCAGTATTATTAGGGTCATTCTGTGCATGAAACTTTGGGCAATCCCTTTGCCTCCCTAGGCCTCACTTCAGCCTCTGCAAGATGAGGGCTTTGGACCAGATGGTCTTCACATCCTGGGCGCTCCCAACCGTTCTCCTTCCTCCGGCCTCTACCTCTTCCCTCACCCCTCCCCTTGCCTCTACCCTTGGCATAGGTTTGCCTTAGGGAGCTTACTGGGGTGGGGCCAGGCACTGAGGGGACACCCACACCCCTGCTTTTGGGGTGCCTTGGCCTAGGGGTGCTCAGAAGTTTCTGTGTTGGCTACCTGGGCCTTGGGCCTTCAGGGACCTCTGCCAGCTGTCCTCCTGGTGCTGAATCATAGGCTGAGCTCTGGGGCCACCAATAGACAACACAGCCCAGGCAGCCTGGCTATTGACAGAGGCCTTGCCTTCTGCCCTAGCCTCAACCAGCACATCCCAAACCTGCCACGTCTCTAGGCCTCCCTGGTCTCAGCCCAAGTGTCAGTCTTGAAAGTGAACAGCATCAGCAGGGACCTGGGGTGTGGTGCCAGCTTTGCTACTTCCTAGGTGAGTGACCTTAGGTAAGTCACTTTCCCATTCTCTGGGCCTCAGTTTCTCCATCTGTGCAGTGACAGGGTTAGACTAGGTGACTTTTCTGGTCTTCTCAGCACCATCATTCTCCTCTCAGAACCAGAATTTCAGTGTTCCATGGGGCCCCTCAGTGGGCATCTAGTGAAACCCATACTCAGAGAATCCCCTCCGCAACACAATCACCATTCAAGATTTGTTTGAAGACTTCTAGAGAAGAGCAGCCCATCCCTCTTTGGGACATCAGGCCCAAATTCATCTTCATACTTGTACCCACTGTTCCTGGTTTTCTTCTTAGGGGGCAAGTAGATAAAGGCCATATCCATTTTACATGATAGCCATTCCAATGCCTGAAGTCAGCTGTCATATCCTGTCCCCACCACCTCCCTCTCAACCCGGGCTTTCTCTTTTCCATGCTAAACTTGTAAAGCTCATCTTCATGTGATCTCTGCAGTGTATGAAATTGTGGCTTTGTCCTTCCCAGGCAGCTCTGAAGCTTATCTATGTGCCTCCCAAGATGGGGTGCCCAGTAATGGACATGGAAACCTCCAGGCTATTTTCAAAGCTATATGTTCAGGAGTTTTGTTTCTTGTCTTTTGAAGTGTTTTTCTATTCCTTCAGCCATATCCTTTTAAAAAATGCTTTATAGCTCAGGGTCAATGAAGCATTGATCCCTATAGCCCTCCACTGGAGACTACTGCTCTTTGGTTCGGGCCATTCATTCAGTTTCCAGGTGATTGTCTTGTCATTGAATCTACATCTCTCCCATAAGAATATAATGAGAAACTTTATCAAGCACTGTACTAAAAATCTAGGTGATCTATTTCTACAGCATTCCCCAGATGTTCCAAGGTAAAAACTCTGTTCAAAAGGTAACAAGAATGGGTGTCAGCTGGCAGTGCTAGGTCACAGATCCAGTGCAGATTGAGGAGGAGACCTGTGCCTAGGAATGGAAGCCCACAGCAAGGCACAGTCACAGGCCCTAGACTGTGTGCTGAGTGAAGAACTATTACAGAAGCAAGCAACAACTACATGGCTCTGACCCCAACCCTGACCTCGGCCTTAACAAAAAGTCCAAAGTCAGAAAGTTGGCTGGAAGAATGAGCAAATGAAAAAAGAATCCCACTGTAAAGAGCCATGACGGTTACAGAGACACTCAAGACACAAACACACAGGAAGAAAATGACTCCAAAACATCTACAAGCAAAGCGTTAAAGAAAAATACAGCTTTGGCACAATTTCAACTAGAATTCTTAGGAGAGATGAAGCAGGAGTTTAGAAAAAAGAGCTAAAAATAATTTTTATGAATGAAATAAGAATACTAAAGGAAATTACTGGAAAATTGAAAAAGAAATGACAGCTATGAAGTAAAGAATTATAAAGAGAATTAACATCTTAGCACAAGAGATAGAAAACCTTGCCCAAACAACAAACTCCTAGAAAATTAGAATTGACCAAACAGAAGTTAGTGACTCCATGAGAAAAGAAATATTAGAACAAAGTCAAAAGACTGAAAGAATAGGAGTGTAAAATATCTCATATCAAAAACAAGTGACTTGGAAAGCAGATGAAGGAGAAATGATTTAAAAATCATTGGATTCCCTGAGAGCTGTGACCAAGAAAAACAAAAAAGAGCCTGGATATCTATCATATTTCAAAAAATGATCAAAGAAAACTTCCCAGAGCCATTAGAACAGAGAGCAAAAGGAAAATAGAGAGAATTTACTAGTTGCTTCTTGAAAGAAACCACAAAATAAAAATTCCCAGGAACATGATAGCCAAAAGCCAGGGTATCCAAGTCAAAGAAAAAATACCACAAGTTGCTTAGAAAAAGAAAAAAAGAATTCAAGCATCAAAGAGCCACAGTCAGAATCTCACAAGAATTTGCAACCACCACTGCAAAAGAGCAACGGGCTTGGAATACAATATTCCAGAAGCTAAAAGATATAGGCTTACAACCAAAATTAACTTATTCAGCAAAACAATATAATCCTACAGAATGGAAAGGATCTTTAATGAAAGAGAGGACTTCTAAGCATTCCTGATGAAAAGACTAAAAGATGTGTAGAAACTTTGAAGTACAAACACAGGAAGTATAAGAAACACACATACAAACAAAAAAAAAAAGAGAGAAATATGAATGGTATTTCCATGCAAGAATTTCTTCCCAGTACTTCTCAAGAAATTCATGTTTTTTCTGAATCCTGAATTCCAAGAAAAATCAGTCTGAAATTTTAAAAAAAGTATTAAAGGTTAATAATCAACATGGAGATGTTATTGATTTGAAGGAGTCCACTGACATCAAGTAGAAAGCAAAAGAAGGAAATGCTAACATGCAGAGTCAAAGGTTAATGTTGACATGTCCTGGAATCAGGACATAAGGAGAGAAGCAGTCATGATCTCATCAATATTCCTTTTAACTGTTTCCCTGTTGTAAGTGTGCACTGCTAATAGTGAGTCATTCTTGCAAAAAAAATTAATAGATTTATATGCACAGTATACATTATATAAATTCTATGGGTGATGTTCCAAGAAATAGCAAATTTTGGATGCAATGTAAGTCCTTAAATTGGTGATTTCAAAGTATGATTCTGTGTAGTGCTTTCACCTATGCTAGGAGATTTGAATGTTACATTATCTGAATACAACTCAATAATGTTCACTGGAGTTTTCCAGTGTTTGAATACTTGCTGTAGATGACAGTTCTTTGTAAATGCTACTAAATTTTATATTTTTTATTTATTAAACAATTTTTAGCCATCCATAATGATGAGTAAAGCATATGAAGACTATTGGAAATATTTTAAGATAAAGGAAATCAGTCAGCTTATCGCTAGATATATTTTAAATCATTGTCAAAATACATTGGTTCATAATAATAATTAGCCATGTATTTATTATTATATTTTTTTACAAAAAACCTGTGAAACCTTGAGTTATAACCCCTTTACAGAAAAAAATTACTATTTGTTATTGTGGTCACTTAATACTATTTTAAAACACCTAAATAAAATATTATGAAAAATACAGAATAACATTATTTAACAAATTTCCAGGAAATCTGATTTCTCATTCTGAAATACTAAAGATTAATAGCTGTCAGGAATTTGGAAATATGAAATATGAGTGA